TCCTAGTATTAACACTTTGTCATACCAACAGTTGAGCTGACCCATTCGTGGGATATCATATTACAGATGAGGCTTCCGGTACTTGAGACTTGAGGTAGTCTTAAAGGAAGGAGAGAAAATGGACTTGAATGGATATTTGGCCCTTGGGCATATTTTGTATGTATGGGCATAAGCCCAAATGACTTGTATTTCAATTGAGAAAAGTAATGGATTATAGACTTTGGGTCATTTTAAAGTTTAAGGGTGTAAACCCAATTAATATGTAGAATATCTTTATTTAATGAGTATTATATGTGTATATTGAGACAACTAGATTTGTATGTTGAACACAAAGGATGTATATTTAATTTATATGGATTTGTGGCCACCCAGTGAGGGTGGGTTGTGATATACTTATGCATATGAAATATTGTGAATATTAGGTGAAAAAAAGGATTGAAAAACAAAAGAGGTCATGTCAAAATCTTATGAAGAATTAAAAGACTTGTTATGTTTATAAAACACCTTTTAAATAGGTGGGAAAGAAGTTAAAAGGGGTGGTTTAGAAGCCTTGAAGAAATAGGCTAAAAATGGAAGAAAAGTGGCTCGAAAAACGTGAAAAATGAATGAAAAATCAATTTATCCAACCTAATGACCTTTCTTCTTCCTTTTCACTCATTCCCAGGGTTTGTGGAAATTCGGGGCATGACAGGACTCAATAGCAATTCAGGCGAATCTCACGTTTTGAATCTTGCAGAAGATCAGTTGTCTTATTCGAACAACCTTAGGGCTACGGTCAGTTAGGGTGTGTGCATTTTAAGAGCTGCACGTAGGGGATGGCGAAAGCAAACATAAGAGGAAGAGGGCCTTGGTGGGAGAAGAGAGGGAGAGGAAATCATTGCACAGAGAAGAGAGGGAAAAAACTCAAAGTTCTAATGCCAGAGAAAAGAGAGGAGAGAGAGGGAAACTTGTGAAATAACAAAAAGGGGGCACTGGTGAAATATGCAAATGAAAGTGGATTTATTATATCCGCTTCATTTGATAAAGTAGATTCCATAAATCCACTTTCTATTAGAAAACACATTTGATTATTTATCTAAAAGATCGATTCAAGAAATACGCTTTCAAAGATAAAGTCATACTTCTTGATCCCGTTTTCACATGAAGTCAGATTTGTTGATTTCGCTTTTAAAAAATGTCGTAAATTGGTAAATAAGTTCAAAACGGCTGCATTTTGGTAATAAAATTGTAAAACAACCGTACTTTAGTAGTAGATTCGAAAATTTTTGGGGCATAAATTTTTGTAACATGTCTAGCAGCCACAAAAATCGAGCATTGATCGATCAACATTTTATATTTTAAATATTAATTTTTTTTAATTATGTAATTTAAAATTAAAGTAAACAAAAAGAAAATTAGAAAAAAAAAATAGGTAGATGTAGATTAATGAGGTTGTCAAACATCGAAGATGATGTTGATTAAGTTGTCTAATATTGATGGTCATGCAAAAAAAAAAAATGTTTTGAGTTGAAAAAAAATTTTCAAATGAATGTTGTGTCATTAGATCAAATTAAATAACAATTACATCAATCTTGACCGTCATTGTACTTTTATAAATTGATAATTCAACTCGCTAGTTGTAATATTACATAAACTAATAATAAACCTTTGTCTAAAAACACTTTGTAATTCCAAAATTGAATATTGATTTTTTAATTTTTATATTTTAAATAATAATGATTTTCTTTAATTATGTAATTTAAATTTAAAATGAACTAAGAGAAAAGTAGAGGAGATAGAAGATAGAGGTAAGGGAGAACTAATGAGGTTGTTTGACATTGGAGAGTATATAAGTTGAATTATTTAACAATTGTTATATTTTTATAAATTAAAATTTTAACTTCTTAATTGTAATATTAGATAAATTCATGTTGAGGTGGGGGTGGTTATAACTAGGGAGGTAGACGGTCTAAAGTGCAATTTAAAAAATAATATGATATACCATGTAATTTTTTTTTGGAGCTATGAATAAATGTTTAAAATATTAAAGAATATGATTTATTGGAAAGACAAAATATATTTTGCTACTATGCCCTTCAATTCTCACATTTGTTTCATTCTACCTCCAACTGTAATTATTATCTCATATTATTATTATCATAGGTATTAAAAACACAATTTTACTATAGTTTGATATATGTATAAAATAAAGTTGAGTTTGAATTTTGGAGACAAAGAGAGATTCAGATTGTTTTGAGACAAAACATAAACATATCTAACGAATAACGTAATCCCAACATAAAAGACGATTCAGATCATTTTAAAATTATTGATTCGACAATCTTAATTGATACTCATAATTTTTTTCCCACCTAAAAATTTGAATAAGTCTTTCATCCTACATAGAACTCAAGACTCCTATCTTTCATATACCTTATCTCTTTCTCTCAAAACACATACGACTAAAAATTTCAAATTGTAAATCCATTGTCAACCAGTATCTCCGCTTTGTTATGTTATTAATTATTAGGTTCAATTCAGTTCTTATTTCAACAAGTCAACAAATATTATTACTGATTTAGATAAATTATAAATTATATTATTATAAATCCAAAAATCATATCTTATTAAGTCCAACCCTTAAGCGCCTTAAATCCCAAATCATCTCTCTCTCTCACACGTCACACACCCAGTTGACCCAAGCCACGTACCCCTCCATCTCCGTCAAGGACGAGCAGCCAACCCCTCAATCTCTCTCCCTCTCCCTCTTAGTCAACAATGCACAGATCCTTAAATCTGAGGTCTCAATGAGGCACCCATGCTTCATTAGTGATGGTCTCATCTCCCACGGTTTCATCTCCGACGATGAGTTCTTCTCCGATGATGGTTTCATTTGCGATTGAAATTCTCACCTACGATAGTCTTAGATCTCAGATCTGAGAACTAGATCTCTGTTTGAAGCTATCTCACACAATTACTCTCTCTCTATATATATTGTTTATATTTATGTGCTATTTTTTGTCTGGTGTATATTGTGTGTCTCTTTCTATGATATCATCTCTTGGGTTTGGAATGTGATTGTGAGACAAGTCTCTATGTTGCTATCTTATCATTTAATTATTCTATGCCAAATTATGTTCTTTTTTATAATTTAATAGCATTTTGTGGTGGTATAAAATCATGGCCTTTGCAATGTTTGTGGTAGTTATGGTTATGCTTGGATTTAGGATTTGGGTGGTGATTTTGTTGTGAAGATCGTGGTTATTTATGACTTAAAAGTAAAGTATAAAAATATTTATTTATGGCATACGGCTATGCTATCCCTCATTGAGATTAACTCAATTTTTTCTTCAAGTATCATGGAATTTTCTTGGGCAATATGTTTCATATATGTAATGATTTAAATTGTTTGTTATTTTTGCCTCAATGAAAAAAAAAAAGACTAACATTTATAACTGGTATGTTTAGCCCCTGATAATTATATTGTTGTTATATATATATTTTTGCGATTTTAGACATATAAATGAGGTAAGATTTGAAGTTTCTACACAAGTATATACAAGGTATATCCACAATTTCTTAACTTTTTGTGAGGTTGATCAGGATAGAGAAAAGAAAACAAAAATGCTGAAAATTATGGTAGGAGAAGAGGAGACAGCCGGGAATACTCTCACTACCTATAAGGCAGCATATGGTAGGTTGGCTTTTGTGATTTTTAGTGTGTTGGCACAAGTGTTTTGATGTGAATTTTTTTTTTTTTTGTGATTATGGTTCTTTTTAAATATGCTAAAGAATTTTCTTGGTTGCAGGTTTGATTTGGATTTGCGTTTATTTGGTGAATGTGTAAATTCCTGGTATATGGTGATCCATATTATTTGATTTGTAAGTCCAAGATTTAGTGGTCGTATATTCAATATCAATTTGATTTGGTTAGGTTAAGATTTTATTGATTTGACATTATGTTCATTGATTTGCGGCTTGGGAGCATTCTTAATGTCACATAACGTACATGACTTTACATAAAGATTGCCTTTGGTAGTGTATAGAATAGTTGTATAAATGTCTGTTTGATTTGTATAGCCATCTTGAGCTAATTTGCATTGTGACAACCAAATGTTATTTGGTTACACATGTTTTGTATCCATATTATCAAAAAGACACATCCAATTAAAATCCATGTTACTCATTACCAATAGGTCTCTTGAAAAATTATGAGGGATGCAATAGTAGAGTGTTAAAGTCTACACGTCAGTACATGGGATATTTTATTTATATTTGGATAGAAATGTCATTATCCATGAATTGCACAAGTCTAACGCTAGGATTGTAAAGTAATTGTGAGTTAGTAATTAATTTGAGGTATGTTTCTTTAAATAAAGGTTTGTAACAATTACTAATTCATTTAAATAAGTGTTAAACCCAAGTTAAAATCGTTAAGTGTTCATGTTTTAAGAGGAAATTATATCGTTTTTTTAAAAATAGTAGTTCCATATTGATCGACAAAGTTTTAGGTTATACAGTGCCTCTAAGCATAAAAATTGTTTGAAATCTTTTTGTTTTTCCGTGCCTTCAGGCACGAGCAATTACTAGTGTGTGTGTGTATATATATATATATTTGATCCGATTATGATCTGATCTGAATTATTTATATATTTTTATATAAAAATTAAGTGATTATTTAAGAAATTTAAGTATAATTTATTAAAATTTAGTTAATTAAGTTATTCAGATTGACTCAGATTTTTGGATTATTATCGAATTTAGATATAAACCACAAACTAAAAATTTATTTAATTATCAAATTGAATTTGGATCAAAATTTTGAAATTGGATCTGAATTTGGATCAATCAAAATCCAATCCAAACCCGATGCCTTGCGAGGCCTAGCCCTATACACTATTGTTGAAACTAATTCAAGTACTTGGGGAGGTAATGAGAGAAGCTCAATAATTGAGAGGATAAAGTCAAATAACAAACATAGTTAAAAGGGTTAAAGTATAATTTTACCGCCGGCCACAACCATTTGAAACACCCCCTCGTTCCCAATGTGTCTGTAATGAGCAGCTGCTTATCCTCTCTCGCCATAGCCTAACTTCAAGAGTAAAGCAGAACAAAGAGTGAATAAAACCCCACCTTGAAACCCAAAACTCCAGCAATAGATATGGCCTTTTCCATCTCCACACAAACACCCACTTCTTCAAATCTTTCGATTACAATTCGTCCAATGTTGAACCCTCACTTCAAACACTCATTCTTCCCTTCACTCTCCAACTCAAACCCCAACAGAACCCTTCAATTCTGCTGCTATGCTGCAAAGCAACAGAGTGGGCCGGTTAAAAAGCGCCCACCTCCAAGTAAAACGAAGAAAAAGAAGGGAAGTAATGATGATTTGAAGGGCTTTAGTTTAGATGATGTTGAAATTCAAGAAGATATGGACCAGTCGTCAAAGTCGATTTCCAGGGCGTCTCAGTCATATCAGCCTCTGCCGTTGCCGAAACCACCAGCTGGGTTTGTGGTGGATGAGCAAGGGAGGGTGCTCATGGCTTCCCACAAACGAATCGTCACAATTGTAAGGTCTTGCTTGATTATAGATACCATATATGCATATAGGTGTGTGTCCGTGTGTGGGTGAGTTTACGTTTTTACTAGTATGTCTGAGTCTTTGGTATTACTTGTTGAAATTCTTCTTATGGTTTATGCTTTAATCGCCAGCAGCCGATACGATATACTAGTGGCGAACCCGTGTTACGCGCGGGATTTATAGCCCCTTTCCTCTGCTCCCCTTCCTCTCCCTTTCACATTCTGCAACCTCTATCACTTGGAAAGTTAAAGGATTATGGAAAAGTATGGACGGTTAAAACTGATTTTTTTTATAAAAGATTTAAATGATTGGTGATTAATAAGTGAAAGCTTGGGATTGTTACGAGCCATATTGATGTGGGTTGAGTCCCACATTGGAAATTTGCATACAGAATCTCGTGTTTATATGTTGGAATAATGACCCAAATAGAATCTTCTTGGCTAGCACTTTTATGGGTTCCCTATGGTTACTACAGTAAAGATGGTTATTTGGGCCTATTGTAAAATGTAAATTGAATACTCAATGTTTCAACAACCAAGGAAATGGTGAGGGAACGTTTCCAAAGTCCTATCCTCTCTAAAATGATTCTTTTAAAAAGTACTCATATATATACATGTGCGTGCGCTTGTGTATGGGTGAGTGAGTTTTAGTTGTGATTCTGATCTTTCACTGCTGGGACTTGCACAGGCTCCCAGAAAAAAAGAAAAGAAAAGGAAAGTCCCAAACCTAGTCTTGGTCACCAGTGTCCTGGTTTTGTTAATTGTTCAAACATCAAAGCTCGAGCTCTCTGTGACTTTGAGTCTAAGAATGGTCGTTTTGTCCAACTATTTCAAAGTTAGGTTCCCTCCTAATTAGGGGTGTCAAACGTGTTGTGTTCGTGTGACCCACATGTTGTGTTATTCGTGTTGTGTTCGTGTCAAGACTCACGGAAAATAAATCTATTTAATGTGTTTTGAATATTAAACATTAGTCTAGACTATGTATTATATGTATTTAATAATCGTTCGTGTCGAGNCGGAAAATAAATCTATTTAATGTGTTTTGAATATTAAACATTAGTCTAGACTATGTATTATATGTATTTAATAATCGTTCGTGTCGAGTTCGTATCAACGGGTCAGAGTGACACCCCTGCTCCTAATACCATCTATCATCACGGGTAATCGAGACCACTTTTGGTAGTGACCTTTAGTTGAATGGGATTGTAGTTGTATTAGATANAGTTCGTATCAACGGGTCAGAGTGACACCCCTGCTCCTAATACCATCTATCATCACAGGTAATCGAGACCACTTTTGGTAGTGACCTTTAGTTGAATGGGATTGTAGTTGTATTAGATAATGAAACTGTGATTTGTGTATTTGTGAGGTGCTTGTTTTCTTCTATTATCATCGAAACATGGAGACAAATTGTGTGATTTTGCAGTTAAAGGAGATTTTTCATACTGAATGGGAATTAGTCGAGCAGAGCTGTTGTACGATTGTGGAAGTATATTAGCTTTGGGCAATGATGAGTGTTGAGTGAAGTATTCTTCAGTTGATTTGTTGTGCATTCTGGAAGTTTGTTGGAAGAAAGTTGTTCTCTTGCAGAAAAATTGATGCAGTCACCTTTAATTGTCCATTAACTCCAATTAGTTTTTCTTCTTTGAATAGACTCAGGAAAGTCTATACAAGTCTTGTTATACTGTTTTGCCCATTTTTTTAACATGAAATCATCATAACCAATTCCTTCGTACTACCTTGCTCAGTTTACCTTCCAAAGTTACACCCTGTATTCTACGTAAAGTCATGGATATGGTGTTTTGGTATATCTGAAGTCCTATATTCAATGACCATGTCATGTCATGGAAGATATGGATTAATATTTGTAAATTGAATTATGTTTTCAAAGTTCTGGTCAAGGATAATGATTTCTAATTATTGCATACTATCTTCTCTGGGCTTATGCATTTGGTTAATTTTGATTTTTTGAAGTAACTCATGGACAGGTTGATTCTACCAACAATTTCCCACTAGAGTGCATTATCAGGAGAGTTTTTAGAACTGCACGAGGAGATGAGTGTATGTTGCTCTGCCCAGTTGATACGTAAGTGTGAGTGACTTTATAATTACATAATTTTATCTTCTGCTTTTTCATTTTTTGGAATTATATATAATGAATAGGTTTGATGCTGCAGGCCTGTCCAGATTTTGAAGAGCACAAATATTGAAGGATGGTCTGCTGTATGTCTTTTTTTCCTCTTTATGTTTCAGTTGATCTGTATTGAATAAGTTCAATTGGAAACCATATACTAATGATATTTCCTTGGAATTCATGTTTTTGGTGCACACGTTACATAGGCATTCCAGAAACATTACTGTGTTTTGTTTATTTGTTTATCTTTTTATTATTTTGTTTGTTGAAATTTTGCTTTCCCATTGCTCTCTTTTGATCTTTGTTAACTACTCCTTTTTTAATCCATTACAAAATGGAACTGAGGCATAATATGTTCACCTCCATTCTATTTTTTGGTTTGTTAGTTGCCTTTCTTCTCTGGACAGAGCTATATATTCTTGATAGTGTCTAACAACTCCTCGTGAAATTTTGAAGTTCTTTTATCATTGTAATTTTGAATAGAATGAATTTTCTGGAGACAGGATCTTCGGCAATGGCAAGAGGAGAGTTTTGATTTTTGAATCTAATGTGATAACTGGAGGAGAACGGAGTGAAAGAATCTACTTCTAGGATAGAATCTTAATGATAGATTCTTATTGCTCATTAAAACTAGTTCAGAATTGTGTCCTTTAATATTTGTGTCATTCTGTTAGGCAAGTAATCTGCACCTAGTAATAGAAAGCATAGTTATCAGAACCGGTTGAATCNTCTGTTAGGCAAGTAATCTGCACCTAGTAATAGAAAGCATAGTTATCAGAACCGGACTAGACTTTGAATCGGCAGAGTGACCGGGTCGATGGTTTAGTGGTTCAACTGGTTGAACCGATCGAATAATAAAAAAATAAAAAAAATTATAAAATAGAATAATTTAGCTAAAAAAATATAAAACATGTACCTAATACATATAATTTACCATAAATTAATTAATTATAAAAAAAAATATTTGAGTTAAAAATAAAAAACACCATAAATTAATTAAGTATAACAAAAAATATCTGAGTTAAAAATAAGAAACACTGTTAAGAAAATTTTGTTCTTAACACTGGTTGACAGGAATACTAAAAACAAATACTTCTTAACATTAGTAACAATTTTCTGATAAAAAAAACAATTGCAACAATTTTGGTCAAAAAAAAAAAAACAATATGATACAGGAGAGAGAGAGAAAGAAGGCCTCCAGTCCACTTTGTTGAAGCTCGAAGGAGGATCAAAGAAGCTTGAGGACCGAAGCTGTTACTTGTGAAGCTTGAGCAAAAGGAGATCGAGTGGAGAAGGAATTGCTCGATCAGACCAAATCCTTCTACCAGTTTGTCATTGCGAGTGGAGAAGAATTTGTCTGGTCCTGGTTTGGTCTGAATCTGTTGGTGTGATTGAGTGGAGAAGACGATGGAGATTGACTGGAATTAGGGTAAAGTTAGGGATTTTGGGGTTTTTATGAAAAAGACAGTAGAACTGTTCGGTTCACGTTTTTTGTCAAAAACTTGCCGGTTTGACAATTTTATTCCGGTTTAATTGCTTAAGCGGTTCAATTCAAGAACTTGACCGATTGAGGTGCCGGTTCACGGTCCAACTGGCCGGTCTGGTCCAGTTCTGATAACACTAATAGAAAGTTGCTGATGAATTGTTACCATTTAAGAAAACAAAGTCCTATTGCATTTCTTTGTCATTTATTTTTTGTTCTCTCTACAATATCTCAAGCCTTTTCTTTTCTGTCTTTCTCTAGTATGGTGTTTTTTTTTTTTTAATTTGTACGAATATTTTAGTTTATCTCCTTTTTGGACATTGGGAAGTCAGTGACAAGGGTTTAATTTGGATCTTAAATTTGTTAGCAAGGCTGAAGCTGATTTTTTTTTCCTTGTTTAATTTTTGTTCCCGCATTATCACTTTTCCCATTTGTAGTTTTATTTGTCATAATTATCATGAGAACTCTCAAAATTATTGGCTTCTCAATAAAAAAACATAGAGATTTGTTTGCAAAAATTATAAATATGGTACCAATTTTTCCATGTCATCACTAAATTGATGCCATCTTGTCTATTCCTTTTCTTTTAATCCAAAATTTTGGATCCAAGAAAGAGAAGAAAAAACAAATAACCTTGAGCTAATAATGTATCATTATGTTATTGTTTAACCCTAATTATAATTTGACTTGGTGAAAGGAAACGATGAGAGTTTTTAGTGTGCTAGCATTCTTGTACATGTATATGACTGCATTGGAACGATGTCTTTCATGTTATGGATATCATATGACTTAAAATGTCAGGAAAATTGGATAAAACTGTATCTCAATGTAATACAGAATCAAATATTAAGTTATAATCAATTTCTTAAATGTGGGAAGTTTTCTACTAAGCAATGTTATGATATATTACCGTTCACTTGGTGGCAAATAAAAACTGTTTCTTCAAATACTTGTTCTTGTTGTAACAAATTGGCATCTCCTTATTCTTCTTTTAGTGAAGCAAGGTGTAAGTTGAGCAACTATCTACACTTGAAATTTTTTAGGACTTGTGAACTCAAACATGTACATTAGATGACTTATGTTCTGAGATGAAGAAAGACTGGAAGTAATTTCTTCTAGAGTTTCATATTAAGAAGACAGCAAAAGTGCATATTGGCAGGAGGGAGAGTTGAAGTATTATAGGACAAAAATGTCATTGTTACGTAACATGTTGTTGCTTGCATTTTATGAATTCCTCCCTTCTTTTGTTTATTCCACAGGTGTTCTGACCTCCTTTGATGTTCAATAAGAATAATATTGTTCCAGTGTCTCTATTCTTGGGAGTATTAAAGTATGCTATCAAAGTTTTGCTGTTTATTATGAGAAAGGGCTACCCCCAGGGCGGCCTTCTTATTTTATTAGTTTGCATGTTTTCTGCAGATATTGATTCAAATTTTCTCTATGTGCATCTGCATTATAGGTCAGTGATGAAGAAGTTGAATCTATTCTTCCCTCCGCAGCCTATGCCCTTGCCAAAATACACATGCATCTGGTGTATAGCGGGTATTGTAACCATGATTTTCAAGGCCTTGGTGGTGGTTGTTTTTTTGCCTTATTATATCTCATTTTACTTCATTTTTAGTTCTGATATCATTTTGCCGCATCTTTGTGTGGTCCAATCAGATTTTGTTATACAGCAAGGGGAGGATTTTGCTACACAGAAGATGATATATTTGAATTTCGCACAGGCAATGCTCTAATCATTAACAATAGTTGAGCTTGTGTACTACTAAACAATTTTGACATTCTCCTTCTCATGATTTTGTGGACAAGCATCATTCAGATCTTGAAATGTTTTCTTTTTTTTTTTTTCTGACAAGAAACATAATCAACTCAACTCACCAGATATGTGCGCTATCAGTGGTCATATTTTCTGTAAAACTGTTGGCTATTTGTTGATTTCAATCCACCCCTATTCCTCACCTTGCCATTGATCTGGGCCACATCACTCTTCCTCATTTTTACAATTATAGGTCTAATACATACCTGTCCTATCCATCCAAGTTGATTCTTTCTTAATTTATCTCCTATCGGTGCTTCTTGTACCATTGTGCAAAATTCTCATTCCTAATCTATCATTCTCATTGTAAAACTTCACCTTTTAAATTAAGAGAGATGTGTCGCTTACATAATATGTTAGACACATTCTTACACTTGGTCCATGCTGGTCTAATTCGATCATTAACATCATCTCCAGTCTCATATGTATAATTGACCACAAATAGTGAAATTATTCGCTATTTGATATCTCTTGATCTCTTTGAATTCTTTATTCTAAGGCGGCTCCCCAAACTTTAATTTATTCTTAATTTCTCCGTTTATTTCAACAATCAATTTCCTATTATCANTTGCTTTGAATTCTTTATTCTAAGGTGGCTCCCCAAACTTTAATTTATTCTTAATTTCTCCGTTTATTTCAACAATCAATTTCNCTTTGAATTCTTTATTCTAAGGCGGCTCCCCAAACTTTAATTTATTCTTAATTTCTCCGTTTATTTCAACAATCAATTTCCTATTATCAGCAAGTTACATTAGATCATAGAACGGCATTCTGAATGAAACTAATTTCATTTTTTAATCAAGGCAAAGAAAATACAGATTTAAAGCAGATTCTGATTAGAAACATACGACTATTAATGATGATAATGAAGCGTACATAAAGAAGATGAAAAAAGTGTGGACAAGTCATCTACCAAAAACAAGCAATAAGAAAGCAATACATAGAAATGCGAAGCAATGGTGACATGCTGTCCACCCGACTTTAAGGTAGAAAAGAGGGATATTCTCAATATCCTTGATAATTGAAGCCCAAAAAGATGCTACAAATAGGTCCACCCCCATAATCCTTCCACCACTCTTCTTTGGTAATGAGTTCTTGAATTTATCTCCAACCAAATGACCCGAAGTGGATAAAACTGCACACTTCAAAGAGTAAGCCCTTTTGATGTCTCTTTCAGAAACCTTTAAGATCCACAATAAACATAAATGACGAGGATTGAGCAGTCACCCTATTTAGACCTATTGAACAACTTTTTTGACAAAGAAAATGCAAAAGGGGCAATGCGAGAGCTATCACTATCACCTCCACACATAACAAACCACAATGGAGAAAAACAAGCATTAAATCTCTTTTATTTGAAGCCTATCATTAGTACTAATCTGCCATGAGTTTTTTTATCACACAGAAACTTGTACATCAATCGGCACTTTAGCCATCCAAATAATCAAATATTGGTAAAAAAGCATAAATGAAGAATAATCAACCAAAAAATTGAAGAAAGACATACTAGAGAAAGAACTAGAATGATTGATCTCTCAACTTTTAATTGACGACCAAGTGATTCAATTTATATCATTAAACATAGGAAAAAGTGAACCAATTTGGAAGTTTTCCTATCTAAATTCCTATGAAACCAAGAGAGATGAGAGCTACACCATGTAACATAAGAGGCCCTATAAACACCATGATAACAAAATACAACAAGGACTAGGAAAGTCAACTTTCCAATCCAAATATCCTCCTAGAACCGAGTCTCATCCCATTACTCATGATGGACTTAATATTTTTGAACAACTGAGGAAAATTTTGAGAAATCAATTTTAGGATATTGAAAACTTGCCCACTCAACTTTAATTGCATCCTGTACAATGGCTTGTAATTCGCATATATTTTGGGAATGCCACATTGAACTTTGGTCTAATGAAAATCTCCATGGCTATTTCTCAACCAATACAAGAGTTATTACTATTAAGTTCTCTACTGAAAGACCACCTTTGGCTTTAGGCTTAGAAACCCCTTTTTAACATATCAAATAATCCTTCTTGCCCTTACCATTTCCTTTCCACAAAAAATCTTTCATTATCTTTTCAATCCTCATTGCAACCTCCTTGACAATTTANAAAAGACCACCTTTGGCTTTAGGCTTAGAAACCCCTTTTTAACATATCAAATAATCCTTCTTGCCCTTACCATTTCCTTCCCACAAAAAATCTTTCATTATCTTTTCAATCCTCATTGCAACCTCCTTGACAATTTAGACTCGTCTTGAAATAAAAGTTTTCTTATAATCTATGAAACACGAATACTTCGTTGAGACCTCCTACATATTCGATAATAAAATATTTAGATACTTTACGGATATTTTTATATTTGAGCAACATGTATAATTTTTGAATTAAATCGTTAACATCTCATTTTGAATTCATATATCATACAATACATTAACAAAAATTCATACTACTTTGAAGACACATGAGTGTTTTTTAAGTATTATCTACTATTACATGTCAAAAGAGTATAAAATGAATTTATTACATTTATAATCTTAGCAACAAATCCTTCTAAACAAAACCATCTAAGTAAATATTAGTTTTGACTTTTGATTATTTTAATTAGTCACTTCACTTTGTCCATGCACGATGATGATATGACATATAATTTTTTAAAACTAAAAAAAATTGCTAATTTTTCTTGTTATGTTAAAAAATTACCAAAATATATAATTATTAAGTCGATAGATAATAGTAAAAACATGAAATATATTTTATTAATAACATATTTTGACCGTATCCGTATCTTATTTTTTAAAATTTTATTGTGTCATCGTATTCGTATCATACTTGTATCCTCTGTTCGTTCTTCATAGATTATAATCATATAATCTTTTCCTCTTTTTTTCAATGACGAGATCCAAGAACACTAAAAGCAAAGGAAGACACAAGTACTTAAGAAGTCATTCACTCATAGAGCACGACAAAATGACAACAAATGTAAATCTATATTAACTTTTTAACCCAAAGATTAAACCAAGCACATCAACAATTTTCTTAAGATGCAAGAATTGTTCTCATTAAAAGAATGTGTTATCATCAACATATTGCAAGTGTGAGCCTGAAATCCTCTCCATCGCGCTTACAGTTTCCTCCCACTAGGTTACATCTTTCCACCCTCGTCACTGACCTATTTAATTCATCAGGCTAAAGGGAAAAAAATGGCAATAAAAGGATCCATGTTTAAGTCTTCTAGATGTCTTAAACCCACCCTCTAGGTTTGTCGTTAAGAATATCAGTAAAATTTAAACCCATTCTAAGTTTGTCATTAAGAATATCAGAAAAATTCATTGATTGTAGTCAACATTTACTCTATTTTCTCTTCCCTTCTCTTTATCTTTTACCTCCAAAACAAAACCTAAGAAATTCCAATCCATATGGTCATTTTTAAAATCATGTTTAACAAGACCCGTCGACCCGTATAGATCTATAATCCGCAATCACCTCATTTGTCACGAGGGCTACATCTAAAATCTACCTTATTGGGACAAATTCTCCTTGAAACTCCAGTGTAGTATTACGAAGAGTGTTTCTTACTCTCACAGATAAAACAAAATGATAACCAAACTTATCGGCTTGNATATAGTATTACCAAGAGTGTTTCTTACTCTCACAGATAAAACAAAATGATAACCAAACTTATCGGCTTGAAACCATCGTTTACCAAGAAAGTAGAATTAGTAATTGCATTGACCATAACAATTACAAAATCATCAAAAACTTTTATCAACCCTTTCACCACATCCTAAGATTCCTTAAAAATACCTATGGTAGATCCATCCAGTCTAGGAGACTTCTTCCCACAATGGTCAAACATAATACTTTTAACTTCCTTCTGCTCAAAAGGCTTCTACCCAATTGTTTTCTTCTCATCAGTGCAATTCCAATCAAAACCTTACAATCTAAGCATGTGACACTCTTCTATCATCATACTATTGTCAAGCTCTAACTTATGATTTTCTTCTTAAAGCTCCCACATTCATCACTTTGTGATGAGTTTTTTTCCTCCTTTTGATCATTTCAATTTGTCTTCTGTGTACAATTATTTTTTTCTTTGGAAGTTACATTCTCAAAATTTATTACCAAGTTCCGCCTTTTTTCCTCACATTCTCATCTAAGTCCTCGTTAATTTCCTCAATTCTTAGCCAGATTAAACTTTTGGTGACATGTACATCACCAAACATACACATTTGGTGACACGAACATCACCAAATACCTCTTTGTTTCATATCGTTGATTTTATTTCGAAAGTTTCTACGTTTTGTATAAATTTTAAAATGCTCCTCACCTTGAAACCCCATTTTCATCCACCAATCCCTAAACTTTTTCTAAGGTCATAATGTTTTAACCACACATTCTCAAATTTGAAAGTACATGTGCCCCACCTAACGGTAGAAGTCTCAAAGACAATGGGACTATGATCGAACGCAACCCTCATTTTAACCTCTGTTATCCTATCCAAT